AAATTGGAGAGTATGTACTCTAGAGTAAAATAACCCTCTAGAAGCATGGTGAAACGCTCATATTCTACACGAGAGTCTTGGAGAAAATCGTGACTCGCGGGTAACTACTCTCAACTTTACTAGACTGTTGGTGAAACCGGCCCTAAGTAAGACAAGGTTGATACGTCTTGTGAATTGTCAGGTGATAGGATGATGTGGGGTGAAGGGATAATCACAAATACGACCATGCCCACGCATCGTCGGCGCAGACGATGGCTGCTGCAACAGTCTGCGCCACGAGGCCGGCTTATTTACTTAATAATAATAATAATAATAATAATAATAATAATAATAATAATAATAATAATAATAATAATAATGGCTACTTGAATGGTCCAGGTCTCCCCACACAGGCGTTTTCTGTATTATTTTTGCTTTAAAAATGAAAATGGGTAATAGAACAGCTACTTCACTTACAGCTGTTGTTATTACTTAATTTTACTTCGTGGCGGTTCTCATTGAAGTGTTGGTTGTGTGTATGTTCGCAGCTATCCCGATGTGATTTGAGATGAAACGGCGCCTCGAGTCAGAACCGCCGCCTCCAGACAGCAGCAGTGCCGTTGGTGTTGGCGGTGCAGGCAGCGGAGGCGTCCCCACGCAATCTGTTTTTTCGCGCGCTCCTGGCGTCGCCGGTGGCCCGCCTCTATCGCCTCGCGTCCCACCCCAAGTGGTGCAGCCCGTCGTCACGGCTACAGTCGCAGCAGGTGAGCCTTGTCAAGTTGTCTGCTCTGGGAATCTTATCGGTGTCGCCATGGCGACAACAAGCTGGCGGGAGGACAAAGTAAGTGCCGCGGGGTCACTTACGGCAGTAGCCATTTTACTTTTTCGCTAACCGCAAACGCAGTAGAGAGAAAGTTACGTAATGCTGCGCGAAAAAAATTGCGAATTTTCGGCAGAAACGTTTGTTACAGGGAATTGAGAACGGAAAGGTGGATAAATTCAGCTACTAAATCTAGGGGGAGGGATCCTCTTAACACGTGGTGTAGTCAGAATTCGTTTCGTAGGTTTTTGATACCGGAAAATCGATTGACAACAAAACGTCCGTCACACTAGTCACCAAAATAACACTAGCGCCTAAACTGTTCCTCAATCATTCTGGCTGATCTCGCGTCCTCTTTAATTTGAAACCGGTATTTTAATGTTGGGGAGTATTTTCCATGAAACCTCATGGACGTTTTCCAAATTTTCAAGAAAAAAGAAAAGGCTCCATTGTTTTTGATTAAATGTTGATGTTCCTTAGAGATGTATTTTGAATTAAAAGATCATGTACTATTCTTCGAAAATATTCGTACTTTTTACGTAATTTTGCTTGAAAGTAACGGGCGAGAAAGTACGTGCTGTTTTAGCACCAATACAAACATACAAATCGTAAAATTTTTGCTGACGAATTAAACATAATTATTTATAAAAGCATCTTTCCTGTTGTGTGTTTGGTAACTGCTGTGTATACTACAGTTTTAAATTTTTTCTTTTGTATTCAGAAGACAGGAAGAACACACCATGCATATTTTTTGTTGACTGCACATAAACAAGTACTTCAGTGATAAATATAATGTACTCAACTTTGTTCATAAGTTTTACTATGTTTTCTCTTTAAATTCTGTTTTTTGAAATGTGGATAAAAATTGTAACTAATTCTTTTCGAACTCCCCAACTCCTCTCACCACAACCCCCTCACTCCCTGTATGTCCAAATTTGTTCAGTGAAAAATGTTTGAACTGGTTAAAAAAAATGAATAAAACCAAATTTGATTCCGTAGGAAAACTGATATTACAGATTTCGCATACTATAACCCTCAAGGTGCTGCCAATGTTAGAGAATTCTTATTTCAAAATTTCTGATTGTTCATTTGTGATACTGGAATGTGGTCTGAACTCTACATCTACACATCCTAAATATATTTTGAAATAAGGTAAATGTCTATTTGTCTGAAATTTTACCCTAGAGTTTAATTGTGATGCATCTTCAAATAATTAAATATCAATATTCTGCTCAACACTTTCCCAACGAAATTCACTATGGTTTGGTAGTGTTGTTATTGAGAAAATAAATTTATTTTAAACTGGGCTTCAGTTAAGTTGTTAAACATTTTTCAAAATGTTTGTTGTTTATGCTGGAATATTGATTTGTAAACATGACAATCTTGTCATTGTGAATACTCTTCCCAAATAGTGAAGGGAACTTCAGAAAGAACATCTTTATGTTATAAGTATTGTTAAATTCCGTAAAGTATTTCTTAGACAGTTTCATTGACATGTTTTATAAATGTTATACGAGACTTTTCTCAAAACTTTGGGAAAAGATATTGCTTTGTTTATTTTCTTATTTCTTCTAATTAGAAATGTTTCTTATTATACTTTAAATCATTGCATATGATTTGCTGTCTTTCTGTCAAAACTCTGGAGTAACTCTGAGAGTATGATTTCACTTTCATTTTAGATTGAATGACCAAAGATGATCTTGATTGTTTTGCAATGGCAAAATAGCAATTTAGATCTTCAAAAACAAATTTTGTATTCTTTTGCTGTTGATTACTTCAATAACTCCTTATAATTATTACTCTTTCTTTTTCTCCAATGTGTGTGTGCAGGGCCCGTGGGATTTGTTCCCGCCAGCAAGCCTTTGAGCGTTGCTGAGCGGGTGGAGAGTATGCCAGGCAGTGTGGTACAAGCTTTTCCTCCCCAACCTACACCACAAACTGCTTACGCAACTTCATCTTCCTCAGGCTCCATGCCAACTGCTACGACTGCTCCATCTGTTTCTGTAAAGGTAAGTCGTGTGTAAGGAGGAATGAAAATAGTGGTTGTTAAAAGGTGCAAAATGTAGCTGGTTAATAGTGGATATTGGAATTGGAGCAGTAAAGAACTGTATCATGTAACCGGGTTTTTGGCAGCAGTAAATCCAAGGGAATGTTAGTGAATGGGGGAATATAGTTAAAACTGGTATATAGTGTTTTCATAGATCATTTTTTTAATTTGTTTTCGATTTTGACCTATTGTGTACAATGTCTAGATCCTCCTGTAGCTGATATTGCCGTTGTGTTTTGTAGATTAAACTGAAAGTTGGAGTTTAAACTTCAATCTTTGTGGGGCAACTGTGTCTTTGTATGGTGGAACGTTTCCCTTTTTGCTGTTGCATGGGTTGAAGGCATTTTAGAATACATGAATATCCATGAAGCATGCATGCAGTTTTAAAATAAACATGAATTAATAAAAAGGCATGAGAATATGTATATTGAGATGAGTGACGGTTCTGTATTTGCTGCAAGAATCCCCTTGTATAGATTCACTTATACTCTAGATGTATGCCACAAGGTAGATACTGCCTGGCCCTGAGGTAGATACGAAAAAAAAGTAAAAAAATTAATCAATAAAAACACTGAATTTGAAGAGGAATATGGAAGAGTAAGAATTGAACTTGTTTATTAGCTTTGATAAATTCTGGTTGTGTATAAGGGTATCTGTGCTGATAATGGAGAAATTGTGGATTATATTCAGGAAAATATTTACTTTCAGTTTCAAGTTCTAACAAATGTGACCTCTGAAGGTGTAGAACTGTTACATAGTTTGCTGTGGGAATCTACCGGAAGGTTGAATGATTAGAGTGGCAAAAGTATTGAAATGCTTTTCTCCATCTTTGTATGTTCTCACAGCTTACTTTCAAAGACTTCCAAGCTTAGTTGGAATGATCAACTTTTTATTCTCACATTAAGAATTTTATCATTTTAACTTTTTTTCCATTGGTAGTAAGTTTTTTCCTTGGACATGACAAAATATTTATAGAATAACATTTAAGCACACCTTTTTTTGTATTGGTTATCACCTTCATGTTTATTTTAACCTAACACAAAGATATTTAGGTGAATTAAAGTTTTTAGTTTTTTAATATTTTAAAATTTATTTTTAAATACAATTGAAGCGTCATGGCTAGATCAGGTGTGTAGTTTTTAGTTCCACCGTGTCAGTCATTAATTTCTATTTCCACGATGCCAGTTTACCTAACATGACCTCACAGTATACTTCATTTGATGTTTCACTGTTGGAGTTGGGCAACTAGGTTCTGGCCTTTGATCTTTGTGATTTCCATGAAAATATTTTCAGTCTTTCCAACACACAATTCCAATTTTGATGTCAAAGTACTTTTCATCAACAGCAGACGTTTCCCACACTTGAACGATAACCTTACCTTAGCCAACATGCTGTGACTAATTTGTGAATTAGCAAGAAAATGTCTGAAATAATCTGTTCAACTCCAGTCATACAACTTTTTCCAAACTGACAGGTTAATGTATGAATTGACCTCAAATTAACCACATCAGACTTGAACCATAACATATTGATGGTGAAGAAACAATGCCTGAATTCGTAGCATCATCGCGAAGGCATCGCTGACACTATGGGTACCATTTGATAGCATGGGAAATGTAATTTAACAACATTCATTAGTTCACCCACTCTATCGAATGGTACCCATTGTGTCAGGGATGCCATCCAAAAACTAAATTGTCAAAATGTCTACTATGCCATATTGTTTCTTCACCAATGAGAAATAATTTCTTCCTCTGAAATATCTTAGAAAATAATTTGGAGACTTTTCTTGGGAAATTTTCCATTATTGTAGATACAATTATGAATTTGTTTAGAATGAGATGGATATATTTAACCATAAATTTTCATTCTAGATTATCTTTTCTGTTGTGTTGTATACAAAGCCAATGATTGTTATGAACTGCCCATGAGGAATGATGAAAGTGCCAAAAATGTGTATTGCTTTTTTTTGATGTGAGTTTGTATGTACGGATCATTTCAAATAATCTGCTAAAGGAAACGCGGTGTACAAAGTGAATGTACACTTGGGTATTCTCTCTGTTTTGGGACTGTGGAAAACATGCAGAAACTGGAACAGCAATGAGTACCACAGTCTTGTCAACAAAAATGTTCTTCTATTTAATAATAAAAACAACAATAAAAAACTAAATCTAATAACTTAATTACTTACTTAATAATTACCTAATTACTTAAAACACTACGTTGGAGGAGGGTGCAGGAAGTTTTTGGGCGCTGTAACCGTTTGTTACAAAACAATGTTCTTTTATATTTTATAGGATTGGTCTTTGCATGCTCTACTATATTTAGCCTGGTTGACATGGATTTCATAAGTTCATGACACATTTGGTTAGAAATGATGTACTTTTCTTCTAAAGCTATCTTGATCCTATTTGTTTGCAGTTTTCTTCTTTTGTGTGCTTCCAGGATTTTTCATAAACATTTAGTTGGATAGGAGGGGGGAGTGTGTAGTGGTTTTGATACAATGTCCAGGACCTGAAATTTTGTCTTTAAAGTGGTATGCTTAGGATACTTATTGTGCAGAATAATGTAGTTGTTATATGAATTAGTTCATTACTCCCTCAATAAACTGTAATTGTCACTGACACTCTCCTCCGTTCCCACATGAGCACCAAACCATTGCTGTGTTTAAAAGTGGGAATGAAGTTTCACAGCTCTGGCTTGATATTTATTGAAATCACTCCGTCCAATATCCAGGAGGTCTGTTTCATAGGCTGGGACATTGACCACGGATATATTTTCACTGCATGATCATTGATCCACCCATCATGAACACTAAAGATGGGGGTGCTGTGCTGTTTGTTGGGGTCAGTTTCTCTCTCACTGAAATGGTTTACAATGACAAGTGACAGTGATTTTGGGATTCATCTGTTTAAATATCTTCTGTATTGATGCGTACTTGTTTGTTAATGGATTACTCATTTGCATTCTTAAAACAGTAAATACCCCTCTTGGAACCATTTCACCACAGTGACACTATCTCTGCACAGCTCAGATGACTACTGACAGACAGCGATGGGGCATGGGCAACAGTGGAGGAATATTGAAGAATGATGTAAGCCACCTATTTCCTCAATATCTATAGTGTAATGCATGTTATTAAATATTTACTTCCAGGTGTCCAAAGATTTTTTGCACATCATTTTGATACATTTTATGGTTTTCCTTAGTATTTAGGTTTTAGTTCAGCTTTGTGAAACTATTTTTGTGAAAATAAAGGAAGACCTTTCTTGTTATTGAGATTGTTTTAACTTACCAATGTTAATTCCTACTACACTGTTTCCACAGACCCAAAATGCAGAGATTACATGTCATCTCACATTTTACTCTGGCTATAGGGTTATATCTGTTCTTGTGTTTCAAAAAAACATTTGTTAGAGGTTTCTTGATGTTTGTGCCAGAGGAACGATAAGTGTTCATGCCCCTTATTACTAGCAACCTGCAAGCAGCATACAAGCTAATGATATGCTTGAAAGTGGTGTGTAGTTGATTTATTAAAATTATGGAGAATAAGAAGGAAAGTTACCAGAGAGAAGTAGTTCTACTTATGTTGTAATCAAAGCCTGTCAAATATAATTGATTCTATGTTGATCTTTGCAAATAATTGTATATCAGCACATTTTGAACAGTTTTTCTTTTTTACTTCATATACTCGTACTCACTTTTAAGAAATCTGTTAACTCAGCATTAAGTTCAAAGAAAACTGTAATTCAATATCAATCTAATGATCTATCATAGTTATCTATCTTAGCACACTATAAGATTGCCCTCCTATGTGAATGATGCCTCAAGGTTTAAAAAAAATAAAAAATTCCAACTATTCAGAGAGTTTAAAATCAATGTTTTATTGATTAGAAAATTGTGTTGTTGGTAACAACACTAAGTGCTGTCTAGATCTCCTCGTTTTTTCCTTATTTTTTAAAAATTTTATTTGTACTATTTACAAACTGATAAGGTAAATAACCTTTAAACATGCACATAAATACAAGGCATTCCTACAAAATGGGAAATATATATTAAAACACATACGAAGCAAAATTTTCTGCTTTTTTTATTGATTTTTCTTTTTTCAGCTTCAAATAATGGCTACTTTAGATTGAATTAGTTGAAGATGCAAATTTTGTGCAAATATATTATGTTCATGTAATATTTTGTATATATTGAAAGTAGTCAATAGTTAGTGATCTAAGCTGTAAACTATTGTTTTTGCCACTATTGTCTTTTGTTCATTCTGTATTATTCTTTCTTTTTTTCCTTGGCCTTCTTCCATGTATAAGATGGTCTTCTTACTTTGCAAGTCCTCTGTTGTGTTGCACATTGCTTTGTTTGTCTTTCATCTGATGTTACCGAAAAGCATTCTCTTTTGCGATACAATAATTCTTTTCCTTGATGTGAGGTTATATAGGTAGGGGCTTCTACACTTCGGAGAGCTAGTGACTCGAAATTCATTTAATATCCCCATGATAGTTGCGAACTGCAAACTTGTAATCACTGTATCTCAACAAAATGTCAGCCATGATTTCGATTAATTTTCAAATTGTATTTCGCTTTCCACAATGTTATTAATTTGAGATAATTGTAAAAACATTAAAAAGTGACATGCCCAAAATCTTTGAGTTGAAATTCAAAAAAAGGATTCAAAGAGAAAAATTTGTATTAATCAAATCTTTACGTTATGTAAATAAAACAGTCAACTATGTACTTGCTTTGGATATTAGCTGTAGAACAAGATTTAATGATGTACTAAAATCCAAAATATTATTTTGTTGAAAGTATGTTCCTTAATTCTTTTTTGATAAATGCCCATGTACAAGGTAGTGGGTTCCAAGTCACTGGTTTAAATGTTCAATTATGAAATTGCCCTTTCATCTTTTAATACTACCTTGAATTGTTTGAAATGCTGTTTAACATCAGAAATAGTAA